GGGGGGGGCAGGGGAGGGGCGCGTTCCCAACGGATGATTGCGTTTCGTCACGCCGTTGCAGTTGTCGTCGTAGTAGTTTGTGCGGTCGAACGGATTGCGATTGTCACGCCGTGCTTGGTTGGTTGGCTGCGGTGTGGTGTGGTGCGTGCGGCGGGGGAGGGCCTCTAGGCTGCTGTGCGTTCATGAAGTAACACGGGTGGGCGGGGGTGGGTGTGGAAGGCTGCACGCATTAAAAACACGACTGGTACACCGACGAAGATCCGCAGCGCGAGAGACAAGAGTTTCTGTGGGGGCAAAACAAGACAAGCAGAATACCCGCGGAGGGGTGGGGGGTCATAAGGGAGCAAGCGGGGCGCACGGGCGGGAAAAAAGAAAATGATGAACGAAGGCACGCACGAGGGGGTACAGCCACGCCTCGCGGGAGGGGGCTCGCTCTCGCACACACCGTAAATTGTACTTCATCGCGATTTCGGGATAAATTCAAAAAAATTCCACGCTCCCGACCTCGTGCAATCATGCAACGCCAGCATTGCTCGGGGTGTTTGGCGGAAAGGGTTGCCTCTTTTACTCGCCAAAGGCTCGCCGCAAACAGCCTCGCGCAGGCAAAACGGAGTTGCAGTTGCAGGAGGAGTCCAAGGCTTCTTGTGAACAGATCTCGTGTCTGGTGTCGACGAATAAACGAAAATGTTGTTTCGTCGTTTTTTGCTCCCACACACACCCCGACCAAAAAACGTTCCGACCTAATGTACACCAGAGTCCACCACCTCTCTTGCGGGATCTTCCGAAGGAGTCCACGAGCTGGCTCGAAATGTGGAGGCAATGAAAGCAATAACAAAGTCGTCGGACAAAACGTGGAAATAATGAAAGCGTATCCGCGGTGGTGTGTGCGTGCGAACTGGGCACACCTTACCTCTTATTGGCCGCTTTTGCCGCAAAAAGAGAGAAAAAGGGCAAGACCGCGACCGGACCACCTTTTTTCTCACTCCTCTCCTCTCATCATTTGCATCCCAAGGGGGGGTGGCACAGGCAGCAGCAGCAATGACAGAGGCCATGTGTTCGGCAGGAGCTACCACTTGGAAACGAAGCGACGACTGGTGGCATCTGGGAGATGCGCCCTGCCTTCATGGTGCGTCGGTTATGGATTGTTCACAAGAAGAGACGAGGTGGGTGTGGAATGGTCTGTGGGTTTTGGTTATGTGCGGTGTGCCGCAGCTTGTACCCGCTATCATGTTGCTCGCGCCGTAGAGCTCCTCGCTCACCTGTTGCACTGTGTTTGCAAACTCTCGTGAGAACAGCACCAGACCACTCTTCATGACCAAGACGTTGCGGATCATGTCTAGCCCTCTCGCAGGGCGAGATAGCCCGATCAATTCAACCCTGTTGCTTGGGGGAGTCTCTGCGCACTCGGGCTGGGGGGGGGTCTCGCGCACGAGAAAACGAGGTATACATATTTTCATAAGTTCACATTCGCGAACCCCCTCGGACGCGCGTTGTGTGCGTCTTCCTGCTTCCAGCCGCAATGCAGCAGTCCAGCTGGCACAGCAGTCTTCGACTCTGTGAACAATGAGCGCTGTGATATATGCCACTTGAAAGTGTCGGTCGCTGGTTTCTGCATCGTGAGGCTGGAATTTGATTGCTCTCGGGCCGGACATCGTTGGATCTTCTTCCTCTCTGAGTATCATATGTATGATAGAGCGGCACAGGATCTAGACTACTGCTGTACAACGCGTACATATCTTCCCACACACAGCGCTTCCGTCCACGTGCACGATGGACCGCGCCGAGGTGTTGGAAGCGGTACTTCGCTCCAAGCCAGTTGCTGATGCCACAGCTTCTGGTACCCACGCGGGCGCAACTGCTGTCGTCACTCCTGCCGTCTTCGAGTGGGGTACCATTCGCCACCTGCTGAGAGAAGCTCAGAGCCCGCGGATCGGTCGAGAGTTGATGAGGTTGGTCCGGCAGAAGGAGGACAGCGCCCATCGGTCGAACCAACAAGACGAGGGGGCTATGGGGCGTGATCGCCCATGCAGATTGCTGCACGACGAGCAGGCTCTTCTACGGGAACCGTACAACGACAACACCAACACCAGCACCAGCACCAGCACCAGCAACAAAAACGACGACGACGATCGCACCGACGGCCACAACACCGACAGCGGTGAAATCGAGCTTTTCGTTGATGTCCTGCGCGCGTTCCTACTACGAATAAGAGTGGCAGGGCAGCTGCGGCAGGAGTCCATGGTGGAGAAACAGCTCGTGGAATTGAAGACTCTGTGCAGGGGGGTCTGCGCCGACTTTGGAACCACAGCAGCAGTATTTCACGGCCTTTGGAATATTGTGGAGCAATGGAGAAACGTCGCCGACACCGACCAAACAAGTGGTGCGTTCTAATGGGCCCAATGTTGTCGCACAGCTCCTTTCGAGACTGCCTTAGCTTCGTTCCAGACCGACTAGGTGGTGCACTGCTGTTGCTAGATTATTTCACATAACAAGCAGTTGGCTGCAACCAATGCGTCCCTGCGGCGCAGCTTCGTCGCAGTCAGAGTAGGAGAAAACACGACGTGCATCGGTCTTCCCTCTCGCACAACCAAACAAGTCTCCCCCGTGCTTCCTCTCACCTCCCTGCTCCCTGCCTGGCAGTGGAGAGCAATAGTCAAGCTGCCCCACTCGCACAGGACGCGCGGATCGTTTCGCGGGCGAAAGAGATCCTGCGGAAAGCGGCGGCTGTTGACAAAACTAGCAAAAAAGACGGCGCCGAGGCCGGCGATCACGGTAGTGGAGAAATCCCGTCTCGGCGAAGCCATGGGCCGTCACCGCGTGCCTTGAGCCCCAGCCAGGATCGGTCATCGCTTCCGACATCTTCTTCTGACGGTTCCGACAAGCCCGGTTCTCCCGCACGGGATCCAACTAGAGAGCGGAAGGGCTTCGTCGACAATCCGGCGGATGTGCTACCCCTACTTGCCCTCGCCGAGGCCGTGGGCGTTGCGCCCGCCGTTGAGGCCAGCCTTGGCTACATTGCTACCAACGAGCACGCTGTGGCCGGTGCCGCGGCAATCTATCTCGGCAGCCCGACAGCGACCTTACCATCAGCACCACCAGTAGACTGGACTGTTGCCGTCCAACGCCTGGCATCGTGGCAGAGGAAGATAGTAAGGACACATGAAGCGCCGAGTCTAGAGCCGAAACTGATGGTATCGTCGTCGGGAGAGCCAACGAAAAGAAAGACATCACTTCCGTTGTCGCCAGTATCGACAGCGTCGTCGACGTCTTCATCGTCCCTGCAGGACTCCCGACGCTTCGAGCATTCCCCTCGGCCTCGTCATGTTCAGGACGGCCAAAGCGTGACTTTTGGAGCAGCGCTCGTCGAACAGTCTACCCAGGGGACTGACGACGACGTGGAAGTAGAAACTATGAGGACTGTTGATGCAACCGCCGTCTCACACCGAGGATCTCATGCCGCCTGTCGGGGCTTCTCATACGGGCTTGAGCGGAAGGGGGGGCTCGAAAACGCTGAATCATGCGAGTCACGACGCGTGGTCGTGGGCGGTTGCAGTAGGATAGCCGACAATGACGATGTCATGGTGGCACCCCCGAGTGTGACGGCACGGCCGGTAGTTGAGGCCAATCGTCGATCTCCGACACGTTGGAGCGAACAAATACGTCGTCACGAGTTGTTGCGTCCGCTCGAAAACAACCCCCCCCGCGTGCGCTGTGTATCGTGGCACACGCCCCTTGCAACATCGCCGCCTCCGCCGCCGCCACCGCCGCCGCCACCGCCGCCGCCGCCGCCATGGCTAGAAGCACGTATGGAGGGAAGTTTCGATTGCGTTGTCGAGGGGGGAACAAACGGACAAGTCAGCGGGCCCTCAAATGTTGGGGCTGGCATCTTCGGGGAAGGCTGCCATCGCCAAGAAACCGGAGAGGGACTGGCGGAGCTTCCCTCTCGTGAGGGTTGCTCGGTGAGAAGGGGGAAAGAAGATGAGGTTCGGCATTTCGGAAGAGAACCATGTGATGGCGAGGGTGACACGCAGACCACGCGGGAATTTGCGAGCGTCGACACTACGCGTTTCACGACCCGTGACTTGGAAGAGCAAGGCATGTTTGGAGATGCTAATGAGGAAGAGGTCAGGAGCAGTGACAGCGGCGGCGATGGTGACGTCCAACGGCGATGGTGCGACGGCTGCTGCCATCCCAGCGACGACGATGGGTGTCCAAACGACGGCACTTTCTCGTGGCGGTTGGGGAAACCTGAGGCGACAGAACGCACGGTACAACCTGCCCGGGCGATGAGAAGGACTGGCCAGACGTCCATTCCAGGCACGCATTCTGGAAATCACAGCCCCTACCAACCGCCACGGCCGTTCGGTGCCAGGTTTGAAGAGGTAACTTGGCGCCGACGCAACTCAAACTGGTGTAGTCGTGATGATGATGGCCATGATGTTGATATCGCCGAGGATGAAGGCCAAGTCCAACCGGCGCCGAAGAGCAGAAGCAACACCCGCTTAAGCGGGATAGTCTCGTCACCCATGCTCAACAGGGAGGACAGCGGTATCGACGACGATGACGCCAACGAGGAAGAGAGCTCCTGTGCCCTGGCGAGGAAACGCGCGCTCCTCCGCGTGAGGCTCGCTCGGCAGCGGCAAAGCCTGGCAACGGCTGCTGTGGACGCCAACGAGCGAGGGCTCCGGGCGGAGCGGCGCCGGAGAAGGGAAGAGAAGCTCGCTGCCCTCCTCATGAAAGCTCGACGAGATGAGGACTTTTGTGGTAGCGGTGCTGGCTCTGAAGACGGTTCAATTTGCGGTGGCAGGCGAAGTGCGTCGGGATATTACCCGGGCCGATACCGAAGACCAAAAGACAACAAGCGAGATGGTGAGAGAGAGGGTAGAAGGCCATCGGGAGCACAGTCCATGTTGTAGACTCGAAGCATGTAGGCTATGGTACCATGTGGATGGAGATTGGTGCGGGCTACCTTTTGGTTTGCTTGATCTGAATTTGAACTTGATCTGAATTTCTGAAAGATGTGACTTTTATTGCACTGTATCAGGGAAGTTTAACGAGTCCACTTTACACGGGTTTACCTCCGCTGTCCGCCATATTCGGGCACTCTTCTCTTGGTAGAAAATAGGCAAGGTCGCTCTATTCTCACAGGTCTTATTCGAAGGGACTCACCACGCATGGGTCGAGCACGTGTCATTTCAACAGCATGCGCTATCAGACGAAACAAACCCAAGTACAGTTTGAGCCCCTTCCAACTCTCACGTCGCTTGTGGGTCTGTCCTCTACCCCCGCCGCTGTGACTCGCACTCTCCGTGGATGTTGTCGATGATTTCCCTGTACCACGACCTCACTATGTCACGACAAAGAGTTTCCCCAGAGGCGCTGCGGGAGTAGGCGCTTGGGTAGTGTGGGAGGCATGCGGCGCAGTGATAGCGCTGAGAAGCGCTGCATGGAGGCACTAGTGGGTCATCGACAAGAAGCACCAGCAGGACAAGAAGATGATGACGAGGATCGGGTACCACGGCAGCCTCTAAAGGTTACCCCCGTGGCGGCAGCCTGTGGCAGCCGCTCGGGATATTGGAGGGTAGGCGACAGGAAAGAGGAGGAGGCCAGGGAGGATGAAGGGGGCCGAAGCTTTGGCGGCGGCGGCCGTGGCGGCGGTGAGATTGCTCCAGTCGATCGGTATTGTTCCTGCGCCCATACTTCTCCGACTTCTTGCTCGATGGTCGTGAGAGTACATGTTCTCTACAGCAATCGAATCAGATGCTTCGGTGGTGAAAAGGGTGACATCGGGGTGTACCTGGTGCTCGAAGCGGGTCGACTTCGGCATCGAACGGCGACTCAACCTCGCCAAGAAACTGACAGAGCCAGTCATGATCGCGACGCAGTCAGGATGAACGAGGGAAATTCGGACGGGGAGGGAGCGAAGAAGAGAGGCCGGAGTGGCGGTGGATTGAAGGACGACTGTGCAACAACGAGAACCGATGCCTGGTTCTTCCGAGAGACCATAGCGCTGCGCCTCGCAGAGGAAAACGGCATTGGGGGGCAAAAAGTACGGCATGTGCCATTGCCGGAAGACGACGATGGCGAGAACACCGCGAGTGGCAACTTCGGCGACAACATCTTGCGCGTTCGTGTTTACGTAGCAGGAAATCTTCGACAGTCGCGAGATGTTTTTTCCACTCCTCGTTGCCTTGGTTCCCGACAACACCATGCGCCTACGCACGAAGGAACCGACACAACAACACCGGCCGCGTCGGCGTTGGCAGCAGCAGCAGCAGACACGCCAGATGAGTTGGTTGGATTTGCCGCGATACCTTTGCCACGTCTTGCAGCGGCCGGCAGTGGCGCTGGAAACATTCGGGGGCGGTCGGAGAAGGAGCACTGCACCTTTTCACGTTCGACAACTATTTCTGTCGCCAACACGAACGGAGTGCAGGTTGGGTGGATTGAGTTGGGCATGTGTTGCGCAAGTGCCATTCGGGGTCGTGCAATAGAAAATCTGTCCACACTGGTCGCACAACGGGCATGCACATGCGCTTGTTAGGGTGTGTCCACGACGACAGCCTTGCGGGACATAGAATACACCGAGCGCCAAAGAAACAAGAAAGGGGCACGTAGGGTGAAAGCCGACAACGCTCTTGCTCTCGTGTCTATTTCGCACACGGGGAATCAGGTAGTGTCTAGGCATTCGATCATACCACATACTCTGAGTAGATAGCTGCCTGTTGCGCACGAGATGTATACAGCGGTCGTGTGCATGCGACAGTGTACCAGCCCCAACCCCTCGAAAGTTAGTTACCTGGAAATGTAAGATTTTTCATGGGATGTTTAGATTGTAAATATACTGGAGGGCAGCATGCGAAAGTACCTGGACGTGTTCTCGACAAGACGGTTGGCAGGTCTGTTGGTTTTTAGACTAAATGTGAGTTTTTCGGGAACTGTCACCACCCGTCGGGGTACTAGAGACAACGTCGCATTTCGTGTACACTGCACCGATATACGGTAGGCGGGGGAACGCGAACATTTCGTCAGCGAGACTGGAAATCGGTTTGCGAAACATGCTCGACGAGTGCTGTAGGCACTACCTTGCCGACCGGTGTTTCTCAACCCGTTGAAGCATCGTGGTCAACAACGACTGTCAAGAAGCACGATGACCACTAGACCACTAGTCAGCGCTGACTAACAGTGGTCTAGTGGTCATCGTCCTTCTTAACAAAGGTTAAGGCCCGAGTCCGTCAAGCTCTCTTTGAAGCCACTAACAACACGTCCTCAGGGTTGCCATCCCTGTGATCAGCGCTGCCTTGATCACTTGGTACGCAAGAAATTCATCGGCATACATATTTTGCGAAGTCAAAGACTTTTCGAAAATAGAAACCTCGAAAGCATAATATGCTCAAGGGGAGATTCGAACCCCGGACATTAGCTTTCTGACCACTAGACCACTGGTCAGCGCTGACTAGTGGTCTAGTGTTTCAACAGCACCCTCAGATCTTCCAGCAGTTGGCAGCCGGGCGGGAGCCAAGTGTTTGTTGAAAGTGACAATCGCCATTCCGCCTTCGCTTCCGGGGTACGACGTGAAAACCGGCACCTCAACACGTTTCTACGGCACAAAATCACAATCAAACGCACATGATTCTTTCTCGAGTATTCCTATCTACATTGTACGCATCCCGTGTCGCGCATGATGGTGTCAAGTCCACCAAGGGACGGGACAGCCTTCACCAAGGCTGGCAAAGCTGGCAAACGAGTTTCTCCGTTTGTGTGGCTCGCGTAAGCCTCCCCACCCCCCCATCCCCGCGTCGCTCCGCCTTCGAGATTGGTTATTGCAGTCCTCCCTTGAACGTACCAAAATTCAGAAGCACATCTCCTTCATTCTGTAGAGGTGAGGTTTCGTCATACTTCGAAGTATACCGCAAGTAGGCGTGTTTAGCTCGTGCATTTTAGTACAAGACTGCTCAGAAACAAAACGGGCTGGGGTGTGGTACGAAGCACCTTGGAATGTCAAGAAAACGAGGAGAGTACAGTATGTTTAATCATGCACAGCAGAGGTCCAACGGGAACAATCTCGTCAGTCGCTTTTGGCTTCGAGGCCGAGCGTGCATCCACTCGTCCATCGTCTCGTGTCTTTGCCTCTCAAACACCATGGTAGTCAACACATGCCTCGCCGCCCCTCGACACAACAAGAACAAGAACAACATTACACGCACACACGCACACACGCACAGCCGTGACCTGTATGTACCCGTAGACACTGATGTATCGACATTGGCGAGCCAAAAGCGCGGTCGATACCCCCAATAGAACAGTACTCTAGTGCAGAACCATAGCATAACTTCTACACTCCCAATCCACGCAAGTTATATACCCCCCCGCCCCCTCCTCACCGCAAACGTGCGAAGTGAAACAAATCGCAGCGGTTGTATACAGCACCGTGCATATCGGCCGCACGAACGGAACACCCGTGCCATACGGCATCAACTACGCACACGCGGAAAGGGGCACAAGCCTTCTTGTGTACTTACACGGCGCCCAGAAACCATTGAAACCCAAGTGTGGAATGAGAGAATACTCGTCCTCTTCGGAAGATAGGGCAACGGGACCTGTTTAAAGGCCACCTCCACAATGGGACCTGGTTTAAAGGTCACCTCCACACAAGCAGAAGAAACCTCCCGCCCGAGATCGATCTGTCCTCCGCAGGGAAGCCGACATTTCACTATTATCCCACTCCGGCCACAGACGCATTGGCGTGACTCCGGTGTTCCCCTCTCGCTGCGGCGCCGTCCTGCCGTTGCCTCATCTATCTATTTCATTTGTGTTCATCGGCCTTGCTGTTAGCCACAGCCGAGCCACAAAGACAAGTGGCCCACCCTCACGGCGTGGCCGAAGACTTCTCCCCACACCCGCTGCCCTTGCGTCGCCTTGCATGCGGTGTCTCACCCTGTCTAAACCTCGCGAAAAACGAAGGCAACGCCCGCCGTGACATCATACCTTACCCCCACCAACATGGGAACTCAAGTTGTCCTTGCGATCTTTGTGCCAATGACCCCGTTGTTTCGTGACAGCTTTGGGTCTCTCTCTTCCCCCTTGCCACTGCCGATGTTGATCTCGCCCCTACTCGTATGAACCCACCAACTGCTATCCTCCCCTAGGCGACATACTTGTAGCCCTCCTTGCCAGGCTCCCTGCCCTCGAGTCGGTGCAGGTAGTCCTTGTTGATAAGGTCCTCGATGTTGCGCTTCACGAAAGGCGGGTCCACGTCGAACAGATGCCTCAGTTGTTCCCGGACCTATAAAGCGACAAGCGACAAATAGGTGGGGGGCGGGGGCCGGCATTCAGAGCTTGATTTGTCTACATATTTCGAGTGTTCATGTGAGTTGAGATGAAGAAGGGGGATACGCGTCGAACACGAGTTGAACGCTCTGTACACCCACAACAAGAACGACAACGACGACCGCGGGCCGAAGGGAACGAGGGTAGAGGATCCACGCAAAGGAAAGGACGCCCGCAGGTGGGGGCACCAGGATATGGAACAAACCAGGGGCAGTGATCCCCACAGCGGTGTCGATGGACCGAGAAACAACAGAAAGGGAAGAAACGGCCATATCGTAGTGATTCCCGCAGGGCAAGACAAAATGCCCAGTATATTCGGTAGGGTAGGTGGCACAAAAAACTGGGGAAAACAAGGAAAAAGTGATCCCATAGCACTTTCGACGAAGCGCACAACAAAGCTCCCCTACCGTATCGCAAGCGATCCCCGGCGCATCAGACAAAATGACCAGCACGCAGCCGGGTAGTAGGTCCCTCGCAACAGTTCTGATATCGAAGTAAGGAAATACGACGAGGAGGTGCCTTATTCTCGTACAATTGGCTCTACTCGACCTCACCTGTACCACGAGATCGCGGTGGCTGGCCTCCTTGCGGATCTTCATGACTCGGGAGATGGCCGCCTGGACAGACATCTTGCGGTCCTGGAATGGAAGGGGGACGAAGCAAGTCATGGGCACCGAGAGGGGGGGTTGGCGAGAGTTCTGGAGACTAGCGTGAAGAAAAAACACCCACCCATGCGTGATGCGGTAGACCCTCGCATCGCAACAAACGACTGCATCACAGCACTTATGCACACAAGCTGGATGTCGCAAACAAGACACGCCCTTTCTTCCGTAACCATCTGGAACCCCTGATAAAAACACAAAAACACACACGCGCACACTCACACAACAAATGCAAGTTTTCGAGGGTTTCGTCTCCCTGGGGTGTGTGCCACGTCTTTTGACCAGTCGGCCGGTTGGTGCGGTCGACGGGCGCAACCGAAGGTGCATGAAACCAACAACACACAAAAAGGACTAACGAGATGCAAATGCAGTCGTGGTCCCTGTATAAGGCCGTTTGCCTTTGTATAAGGCCTGTGAAATCGCGCGATACCGATGGAACACTACACTTCTCTCATACACTGGATAGGACCGGGTGACCGGTATGAAACCAGCAAATTCCCTTGGCACCATGCTGCCTTAAAACAGGGACCCTTACTGTCGTAGAAAAAACGACCTACCCCCCCCCTCCCCCCCCCCCCCGGCTGCCAGCACAGACCTGTATGATCTCCGTAGACGGCTTAGCCTCCTTCAGCGGCTGCCGGGAGTGGTCCACGATGTTGATCTTCACGCGCGTGCGCTTGTGGCTGAAGGAAGCATTGAGCCTCGCTCGCGCCCCCGGCGGGATGTCGTCGCACGACGTCGGTTTGAGGTCGGCACCGTCCGCTCCGTGGAGTCGGAGAAGCCCGGCCTTAATCTGTCAAGCACCCCCACCACAACATTGACAACAGAGAAGAATGCCACCACGACACGGTTTGTCGGAGAACAGGAGGTTGGGAGGGTAGCACATTGTGTTGTGTGTTGCTGTTGTTGTTGTTGTTGTTGTTGTTACTCCGAGGTAGGGTGAGGTTGTTGTCGAAAGATGCTCTCGTCAAAGTCGCCGCTCTAGTAAACATAGGGGAGGCGGCTTGATCAGCGAGGCAAACATGAGCAGACGCCTCTCGTCGGAAGATCGATCGGAATGCAACTTAGCTATGTACTTGTACTATCCGTGCGGGCGTATGTGCCATGCGTAAGGAGCCCAAAAGCGAGATGCATGGGTCGGCTTACCAGGGGGAAGAGGTGCCGGACGATCTCCGTATCGGAGACGTTGATCCCTCTAGCCAGCTCGCTCACTGCAATCTCGGTGCTGTCGTTGAACTATAGGGCGGGGAGGGGGCAAGGGCGTTGACGAGAAGCGAAGGGAAAAAAGAAGGCCAGAACGGGCATGAGCCACGCAGGAATATTGAGGTATCTCGGCCTCAAAAAGAAATCACTGTTCGTAGAGCTTAAGGTATCTCGGCCTCAAAAATGAGTCAGACTTCGTAGAGCTGAAAAGTTCAAAGAGGCGCGGGGCAGAGAGGTTGTCGCGCCCGAAGGCAAAGGGTCGTGGGTTCAAGGTAGACTTGCACAGAATGGTAAATGACAACTCTTTTCTCTGCTCTTCTGTCTACCGTACGTGCCGTCGATTCGGTCCAAGTAGAGCCCGGGGCGGAAGGGGGCGATTAGCGGTAGTAGCAAAATCTCTCAACTCTGGAAGTAATGAGCTTAAATATACTACACACCATGTGCCAAAAAAGTAACACTTTTGGTACAATCTACGAGGTCTACCACAACACCTGGTGCAAAAGGCCCATCTGGAACGTGGACGAGTATATCCGGTACGTCTTGTCAAAGCAATGGGTCACCATTTCACCGTGCCCGAGGTGGTAAAGCCACTCCAACTTGCGGCCGGAATGAACCTGGGGCGGTGGGCGGTGGTCCAAACACACGCAAAACGGAAGCATTAAAGGGGAAAGGGAGCACAAGTTAAACACGGAATGTCCACCACGTCGCGCGCGGGCCGTTTGGAAACGCTTATTTAGGGGAGTCTTCTCGGGGCACGGGCCGGCCGTGACAACGCGGGGGGGGGGGGGGGGGGGGGGTTCTTGAAGTATTCTGGCGCTGTGGGAGAGAGAGGCGAGGGATGCAAGGACTTGAACAGCAGTTCAACAGCCTGCAACAGCCGCCGCCGCCGCCGCCGCAGAAGCAGCAGCAGCAGCAGGGAGCGGCGGCAAGTAGGGGGTTTGCCACAGCCCGCAGTTGCAACGAGAACCGACCTTATACAGCAAGCAGGAAACAAAGCAGCACCAACGACGGCAATAAGCACAACAACGAACACAACTCGAAATACCTCGCTGTAGAAGTCAAGGAAGCTGACTACGTAGTCCTCGATTGGCGCGGGCGGCTTGAACGAGGAGGAAACGGATTGCAGAGGCCAGCAGCCTGCCGTCAGCACGAACGTGAACGCCTCGAAGTGCATCGGCAGCTGTAGAGTTTTCGGGTTGGGGGGGGGGATACGCGCATGCGAGTGGGGGAGTGGGGGGTGCAAGCAGCACGACCAACAGCACAATTGCGGAGGCATTGGGCGGCGGAAAGAAGCAAGGAAAGGTCAGTTGTACTGCTGTTGCGCGGGCCAAACTGGGGCGGTCGAGCTGATGCAGGAGGAGCACTATACCACACGTAAAGATTCCCAAAGGATACGCGGTCGCAGCCGGGCATGGGAAAGGGGCAAGGAAAGCGAATAAAACCGCCCGCAAAAATGACCTCCTACAGATGGAAGTGGCGAGAAGGATGACGACCCCCCCAACCTCCATCCCATCCCATGCCCTCTGTTGTCACGACGGAACAGCAGACACAAGCGACACAAGACTTAGGTTCAACCCCTAGACCTAACCATAAGCTAGGTGTCACACGAAAAAACAAAACTTGCCTGCACCAAGCCCGCCGGATACACGAACCCGCCTTCGCCCTCTGCCCCCGCTCCGAGCCCTCCTCCGCCCCAACCGCCACCCCCGCCCCTTCCGCCGCCGCCGCCCCCACCAATTCCCCCCCCGCGCACCTCACGAAGCTCGCGGACAACACTCGCTC